TTCTCAATACACTCTCAGTGTAGTGTTTTCATGGACCCTGTCAATACAGAGTACGCGACCTGTGGACCCTGAAAGTGATGTTATCTGAACGAAGCTTCGTAGAAGCTTCGTTCCGATACCCCCCCATGTGGGTAATTATGATTTCGCACCTAACCATGTGGGGGCTTCGTTTCACGCGCACTAGTGACAAGAACCGACACAGAACACAACTGTCCTTTGTACAGCATCGATGTACAGCACAGCTGTCAAATTTTTACAGCGCACCTAAAAGCATCATATATACTGCCACGCGCACCGCGCAAATCACAATACGTGTCCCTCATTGGAGGGAGACACTTAGTGGCTGTCGTCACTGGCAGTGAAGCAGTCGTTCAATGTATTCGGCCTGCATGAAAGGCCGAATACAATGACGGCTCGTTGTTTCGACCACCGCGCCATCAATTTCGTGGCGACGCGGTGGATTCTTGCTGACCCCACCTTCTCCCTCCATCTCTTGCTTCCCCCGTCCCACAGCCAGGGTCTTGTTGGTGCTGCTGTTATGTTCCCTTTTTTCAATTCATTTCTCCGTTTCTCTCTCTCCCCATCTCTAGCTTCTCCCCGCCATGGAAGGCCAGCAGGCTGACGAGGACACGCCTCAGGCTGGCTCAGATGAGCCACCGTTACCGCCGAAAGCCACGGAGCCACGCTCGGGGATTGATTTTCTTAGAGGTTCCGCTGCTCTCGTAACACCGGATCCACCTAGGTCTACCGTAGATGATTCTGCAGTTAAAGACACGCCCACGGCCACACCTGAAGAGTCTCCCCGGGAGGCCGCCTTCACTATACCCCCGGCTGTTGCTTCTTGCAGTAAAGATCCCCAACCGACCGCGCCAAGTCCCACACCAAGCACCGTTGGTGTGTCCGTTGGTCCTCCGTCGGCTACCTCCACACCGAAGAGAGTGCGTTCAGGGAAGTGGGCGCAGCATACCCTGCTCGTCGGAGGCCGCCGACTTTCTGCTTCGAACACTCCGGCTGATCCACCACCTGCTGCATCTGCACCGCCAGAGGAAGATGTGTTCCCGATCCGCGCGGACACCGGCTCGCCCGCCCTCACCAAGGCGCAGCTGCGAGAGCAGATGTTCCTGGAGGCCAGCCTCATGTACGATACGAGGTGGTCGGGACAGTTCTCCTGGCTTGTGTTGGGAAAAACCAAGGATGGGTTTCCCTATGTGAAGTGCAGTGTCTGCATGGCCTACGGGAAGGAGAACACGAGGTACGCGAGGCAGGGTGATGACGGAGGCCGTGACATGCAGACGCAGGCGTTTCGCGTACACGAGCACACGGACGCGCACAAAGCGGCTGTAGACCGGCAGCTGAAGATTGCGAGAGGCATCCGCGAGGGGCAGCAAGTGATTTCGAACTTCATCAACTCGGACGTCGAGGGCAGGCGCGCCGTCCGACTGTTGCGGTCGGTTGTGTTTCTGTGCAAGTGCGACGCGCCGATAAGCATGTACCCTAGGCTTATGCGGCATCTCGCGGAGCAGGACACGCCCGACATCCCGAGACAGTCTTACGGTGTTTATCTCACACGGTAGGACATTTTAGTTACAATCTTGCTGTATAGAATTCGTGGTAATGAAATATTTTCCCCCATAAAGACTAACTGAAAGACCTACATCTCTGCGCAGGTACGGCTTCCAGCAGATGGTTCACTGCCTCAGTACGTACTTGACGAATGCGCAGATGGACCACATCAACTCCTCACCGTTCCTGGGCCTGCAATGCGACGAGAGCACTGACCGAACGCGTGGTAAACACATGATTGTTTACCTGACCTTCATCAAGGACCGCCGAGTCATCACCGAGTTCTTCACCCTCCTGACTGTGGAGAAGTGTGATGCTGCGTCCCTGTTCGAGGTGCTCATGAATCATCTGCGCTCCGCAGCCGTCGACGTGTCGAAGCTTGTCGGAATCAGTACGGACGGGGCTTCGGTCATGACGGGGAAGGACAACGGATTGGTGGCGCGGATCAGGGAGCACGCCCCGCATCTCTTTTCCTGTCACTGCATCGCGCACCGGTAAGATTTAGTGCCAGTTATTGATCCAGTTCATGTTGCTTGCCTGATTTCTACTCTAACAATTATTAACGTTGTCTATTGCAAGGAGGCGCTGGCTGTTAAGGACGCGGCGACGTCCAACCCCGACCTCGGCATGGTGGACAAGGTGGTGCGCACCGTGGCGGCAAAACTAGGAGATTCTTCAGTCTGGAGCCAACGGTTCAATTACCTGCAGCGTGTGATCTACAACACTAACCTCGAAGTCCAGGGGACCCACACGGTTCGCTGGCTCTCACGTGGAGATGCGGTGCGACGGCTGTGCAAGGTGCTCGGTGCGTGTATCGTTCTTCTGTGGGAGCGGAGTCACAAGGTGTACGAGATCGTCACGTGCTACAAGTTCCAGTTTTGCCTGTTCTTCCTCGCCGACATCCTTGCCGACATCCTCGCCGACATGAACAACCTCAACCGCTGTTTCCAGAAGCGAGATGTGAATTTGTTTAATCTTCCACGAACACGCCTCTACTACTGTCTCCAATTTCTTGAGTGTTGGATGTAAAATGACATGTCCTGTATGACTGTGCCCTTACAGATTGATGTGACGGAGATTGCGAAGACCATCGAGGCCACCACGGCGGATCTGACTGAGCGGTATTTGGATACCGACAAGCAGTTCGGTGGCGAGGGCAAGTGCTGGCTGGTCGGCTTTCTGAAGCTGCACGGGCATGGTGGAGGCAAGAAGGTCCGTGTGAGAGGCGTGGACGGGGAGGGACGCCCAGTGAACCATCTGTACACCATGCACGAGCGGAAGCTCCCGGGGCACAAGGTGGGGAGCGGATACGAGGAGTGCGTGAAGCTGTGCCGCAGTTTCGCCCACGATTGCGTGGACAATCTCAATGAGCGGCTTGATGACCTGGGGAAGCTGGGGCCGACGAAGCTGTTTCGGGCCGGAAAGTGGCCGAAGATCAAGGCACAACGGGAGAAGAAGTGCCGTGAGTGGCTTCTGGGATGCAGCAAACTCTTCCGCCACAAGCTGCCGGGATTCGTCCTCAAGGCCGCAGAGAGGGAGCTTCCCACATTCTGTGCGATCATGGAGGCGCACCACGAGCTGGAAAGCTTCACGCAGGGACTGACCAACATTCTCGGGAGCGCGGACTCGAAGAGGTATGTCCCCGTAGTGTGACAGCATGGTATGCCATGCGGGAGTCTAATGTATTTTGTGCATGTGGTCACTCTGTTTCCCACACATCTCCGACAATGTGCCTGGCAGGAGGTGGCCCAACCTCGTCCTCCTGTGGCAGGCGATCGCGGTGCTCCCCCTATCAACTGTGGAGTGCGAGAGAGGATTCTCGAGGCAAAATGTGATCAAGTCTTGGGTGCGCGGCGCTCTCTGCAACGCGCGGCTGGGGGAGCTGATGCAGATTTCGCTCCTGAATTACGACATCGAGTGGCCGGACGCCCTGGAGGTCTGGAGGTCTATGAGGAGGAGGCGCCCCGCAAAGAGCGTGAAGCTTGCTGTGGCTGATCGCGAAAGGAGGGGGAAAGCAAAGGAGGGTGAAGTCGAAGCAGGAGCTGCCCACCAGAACGATGGGGAGGAGGACGAGGAGGAGGAGGAGGAGGAGGAGGAGGAGGAGGAGGAGGAGGAGGAGGAGGAGGAGGAGGAGGAGGAGGAGGAGGATGTGGAACAGGCCCTGGGCGACGATCAGGAGCTTGTGGGGGAGGAGGAGGACAATCCCTTCCTTTCGGACGATGAGGATGTGGAGGAAGTGTTCCACATCGATAGGCCTGTGCACTAGAATAGAGTAGATGTAGGAGGAAATTTGTTACAGGCTGTACATTGCAGTAATCACCCTAGTAAAATTTGAAATACAACCCTGAATTCAGGCTGTCGACCCTGACTCATCAGAGTGACTAGTTGTTGAACCCTGAGCCATCAGGGTGACAATCTCCTGAACAATGTGCACTCATAATCGAGGGAAAAAAAAAATTAGCGGCATCAGGGAGCCCTAAAGTGAAACGTCAGCCCTGACTGTACGTTTCGTCAAGTCAAAGGTCGGAGACCTTTGACCTTCGCGTAACCTCCGACGGTTGCCTTAGTTGACTCGAGTGCTTCTTCGCTGTAGTCAGCTCCGTTTCGTGTCGAAGCTTCGATACTACAGAAGTGTTTTAAATCATTTGTTTCCAACATACCCGAGTCGGCACTGTATCAAACCGCAACAGCAAAACAGTTAAAGTAGAACCTTTCATATTCCTTTGTAATCATATAAAAGCCTTGTATTTCCCTGCTATTAAATAACTTATCTTGTTCTCACACATCAGTACAAGGTGGTTCACCAACTCTGATACCGGTATTAAATGCTTCCGCAACTACAACATTCCTACTTCAACCCCGATCTTAGCCTTGAAAGATCCTAAGGGCTTTCTCAGCCTAACAAACAAGTGTTGGTGTATAGAAGAATACTGCAACTTAAGTGTAAAATTGATGCCCGCAATAATCTCCAAGTGTCCACCCAAACATTTTTTTTTTTTTTTTTTGAATTTCTAGGAAGTCCCCTGCCTGGGTCTTTTATCCATGAATTTACGCTTGGTTCAGCAGCACAAGGTCACAAAAACACTCACCCCTACGTGTCAAGTCAATGCAATGCAGCTGTCACTTGCCTATCATCCATGCTGCCTCTCCGATCCCATTTCTACATTGCAATGTTGGCAACATAGGTTGCATGTCTCATGCATTGGTTGTGGCATGGTCATGAGCAAATGGTGTTACCTACAGGGCACCAAATCAAGCCTCTGAACTGAGCATTCTGTGAAAATAACTGTGAGCTGCTTCAGTAGCAATCTGCTGTCCGCCAGTACTAGCAAGGGTGAGTTACACCCGGATGGGTTCAGCTTTTGTTGACTCGGTCTCAATATGAGACCAATTCTTGTTGCAGCATTCAAAATATATTCAAACCCTCCTGCTTCCTGCTAGCACGAGAAGAGGTCTTGACTTAGCATCAACACATTCCGCCCATCCACAAACTTCTTAAACCCTCCCCACCGTTCAAAATTCCGCAGCACCGTTCCCTTGCAACCCTCGCACACGCCTCCCCCCTCATGCAGCTCGCCTATGAACACCTGCACACCGCGCAGCACCCTCAGCGACGGCTTGTGCGCAAACACCCTCCGCTCCGCCCCCTCAATGTCCATCTTCACCAAATCAAATCTTGGGATTCCGTACGCTGCCATGATTGCTGTGAGCGTGCTGCCCTGCACGTGCCCTCTCACCCTGCCTTCGCATGTCGGCCCTGCTCCCACCAGACTTTCCTGGTACCTTGTCCGCTTCGCTTCCTTCACCCTCTTCTTCTTGCCACTCCCCGCTCCGCCACCCCCTCCCCCTCCGCCTCCGCTTTCCCCACCTTCCTCCGTCACAAACCCTAACTGCCGGCTCGAATTCGCGAACGGCCAGTCGGCATCCCCGGGCAGTTCCGACTGCGATTCGCACAAGGAGAGCGGCGCAATGCGGTCCCAGAGCGCGGCGCGCACGTGCACGATGTTCCCCACGCGCGCACTGCTCACCACCCCCACGCGGAAGTTCTCCGCCTCGGGCTCCACGCGCACCACCAGCGCGTCGGGGTACAGCAGCGCGAACGCCAGCGCCGCCATCCCCGTCCCGCCCGCGTCCAGAATATATTTCGGCTCGATCGGAATCTTAAGCAGCGCGGAGTACTCGAAGCGCACAAAGTGGTTTCCTAACGAGAGCAGGTCCGTGGAATTAGGTCGTAGTTGCCAGTGGATGGCGCAGCAGCCGTGCGCGGCGCACGGGAACTGGTCCACCAGCACGTGCAGCAGCCCGTCGGGCGCCGGCTTCGTGCCGGCCGTCCACTTGGCGGCGAGCGCAGGGCTCTTGAGGATCCCCAGGTCGATCTGGCTCATCGGGACGGTCACGGCTGACGACGGCAGTACGCCCGCTACAGCTGATCCCGCTACAGCCGTTGATGCTGAACCCGCTGTTGCCGATTCTCCGCCGTTTTCGCCGCTTCCGCCGCCGTCGGTTGCGGAGGCTGTTTCTGAGTCAGCAGCAGCGTCAGCGGCGGCGGTGGTTTGAGCTTCCCAGGCGACGACTTTCCAGATTTCGAACTGGCGCACGTGCCACACGATGCCTTCCGTGCGCCAACACAGCGGACGCCGCCATTCCTTCTTCCGCAGACACGCGCGGTTCGCCTCTATTCGCCAGTTCTCGCGCTCCTCGATCGGCCGGGTGTCGGCAGGGGGCCGGGATCGGAGGAGGGCGACAATGATAAAAAGGATGACTATAGTGAGGACGGAGACGGCGACAGCCTGGGAGCGGCGCGATGAGGCGAGGCTTTGTCGTAATCTCTGGTAGGAGGAGTGAAGGAAGGAACCGGGAGGGGCGAGTTGGGAGAGGCGGTACGCGAGACACGGGGGGAGTGCGGACCCGCCCTGCCTGCCGCGCTTCATGGCGCGCGGCGCATGCAAGAGAGCAGAAAGAGTACGCGAGAGGAAGGGTAATGTGCGGGCAGCGTGACCCCAGCCAGCTCTAAACCCTGAAACGGCTACTACGGTATCCACGCCAAGGCGTCGAGCCGCCCCGCTCTGCAGATGGAATGTCGTTCAGCCCGTTTGGATAGGACAAATGGCGGTAGGACCAGTGAAAAACTCCTAGGACTCGGTGTGCAACGTGCATGCGCAAGGATGGACGGACAGGTGGCGAGATAACTGATAGGGAGGTGAAGTAGTTGGGTACACGAAGGCGCCAATAGCAATACATACGAGTAGGCACAGGGTCCAGTTCCCTGATATAGTGGCGAAATAAGAATGTACACTTGATTTGGAGGAAGAAACTCATTCCGAACATTCTGTACGTTCAGAGGGTTACTTTCTATTGTTCATGACTCTGTCGCAACACTTCGCAAAACGTTTTGACACCCGCAAACTCCTTCTCCATCTGTTTGGTACATCACCAATCACCATTCACCGCCATGTCACCCCTCGTCGCACGTCGTCAGAGAAAAGCACTTCCCAGTGGAGGAGAAACCACCATCTCTTCCGTTACCTCACTTTGGGTGTACATATTGATCCAATCCAGCTTTAGCAGCTGATTCCTGCTGCTATTCCACCCGTCGACGGGCTTGCGCAGTTTCGCGAGAGTGAGCGCCGCCACAATCTATTCTCTCCGCCGAGCGCTCTCGCCATGTCCACCGCTGATCTGCTTCGAGATTTTCTGAGCGTCCAGGCAGATCGCGCGCGGATCTACCATGCTTTTGAAGGGTAAGATGCCACTGGCCCATGTCGAGTCTCGCGTTCGCATCAACCCCCCGTGTCCTCAGTCGCACTCAGATCGCTAGAGCCCAAGTCCTGCCGCTTCAGGCCCGACCGTTCAGCCGAGCCTGACTCACAACGCATTCCCAACAGCTCGATCGGAGTGGCGCTCGTAGCGATCGCGGAGCTCGCAGCTTGTATCACGGCGCGTCGATTCCTGCTGCTTGTACCGTCTTCGCTCGAGAGCCCAGTCATCGGCGGCCACTGGGTGTCAACGCAGCCACACGTCTGCATGTCAATTCACTCCCCCTGTGTCGAATTGCTTCACGAAGGCTGCGTTGCAAGGAGTCCACCTCCTCTCTTCCCCTCCCTCGTCTGTGCCACACTCCCCTTCCTTCCGTCCCTCCCCGCAGCGCGTTCGCGGACAACCTCTCAGGAGCCTCGCCGGATTCCGCCTTCCACCGCGCGTGCCAGGGCATAACGGCCGACTTCACGCGCTGCTCACTCAAGGTGCGTTCGACGGCGCTTGCGCAGCGAGTAGGAGCAGCCTGGCTCCGTAGGTGCTTGCTGCTAGAGCTCCGGTCAGTCACAACCTCGAACAAGATTTTCCAGTAAGTTTTTTTTTTTTTTTTTTTTTTTCGTTTTGGCGAGGATGCGCGGGGAAAGTTACCATGCTTTAAGGCCGACCGTTTCGCTGCTGCTTTTTCACCCCGGTCGTGTCCCCCCCTCCGCGCTCCCCCTTCCCCCCAGGTGCGCGAGGTGGAGGAGCAGCTGCGGGCGGATGGCGTGGGGCGCGCGGACCTGGCGGACGTTGTGCGGCGCGTGCAGGAGCAGGAGCGGGAGAAGCTCCACCTGGTGAGACTCGATGCGGTGGAGGGTGGTTGGATGCGATGGGATGGGATGGGATGGGATGGGAGGGGAGGGGAGGGGAGGGGAGGGGAGCGGAGGGGAGGGGAGGGATGGGTTGGGATGGGATGGAATGGGATGGCATGGGATGGGATGGGATGGGATGGGATGGGATGGGATGGGATGGGATGGAATGGGATGGGATGCGATTTGATGGGATGGGATGCCATGCTATGCTTCTATCCCCACTGTCCCATGTGCGAACGTGAATGCGCCACTTGGTCACCAGACAGACAGCCGTCCATCACAACGTGCACAAGCTCCCTTGCATCGGCGCCTGCAACTGCGTGTGACATCCGCCTCGTCTGCCCCTTGCTTCCTCGCCTACCACCCATGTTGTGCGTCGCAACCCATCCTGTCATGCCATCCCATCGCAACCCATCCTGTCATGCCATCCCATCGCAACCCATCCTGTCATGCCATCCCATCGCAACCCATCCTGTCATGCCATCCCATCGCAACCCATCCTGTCATGCCATCCCATCGCAACCCATCCTGTCATGCCATCCCATCGCAACCCATCCTGTCATGCCATCCCATCGCAACCCATCCTGTCATGCCATCCCATCGCAACCCATCCTGTCATGCCATCCCATCGCAACCCATCCTGTCATGCCATCCCATCGCAACCCATCCTGTCATGCCATCCCATCGCAACCCATCCTGTCATGCCATCCCATCGCAACCCATCCTGTCATGCCATCCCATCGCAACCCATCCTGTCATGCCATCCCATCGCAACCCATCCTGTCATGCCATCCCATCGCAACCCATCCTGTCATGCCATCCCATCGCAACCCATCCTGTCATGCCATCCCATCGCAACCCATCCTGTCATGCCATCACATCGCAACCCATCCTGTCATGCCATCCCATCGCAACCCATCCTGTCATGCCATCCATCGCAACCCATCGCAACCCATCCTGTCATGCCATCCCATCGCAACCCATCCTGTCATGCCATCCCATCGCAACCCATCCTGTCATGCCATCCCATCGCAACCCATCCTGTCATGCCATCCCATCGCAACCCATCCTGTCATGCCATCCCATCGCAACCCATCCTGTCATGCCATCCCATCGCAACCCATCCTGTCATGCCATCCCATCGCAACCCATCCTGTCATGCCATCCCATCGCAACCCATCCTGTCATGCCATCCCATCGCAACCCATCCTGTCATGCCATCCCATCGCAACCCATCCTGTCATGCCATCCCATCGCAACCCATCCTGTCATGCCATCCCATCGCAACCCATCCTGTCATGCCATCCCATCGCAACCCATCCTGTCATGCCATCCCATCGCAACCCATCCTATCATGCCATCCCATCGCAACCCATCCTATCATGCCATCCCATCGCAACCCATCCTGTCATGCCATCCCATCGCAACCCATCCTGTCATGCCATCCCATCGCAACCCATCCTGTCATGCCATCCCATCGCAACCCATCCTGTCATGCCATCCCATCGCAACCCATCCTGTCATGCCATCCCATCGCAACCCATCCTGTCATGCCATCCCATCGCAACCCATCCTGTCATGCCATCCCATCGCAACCCATCCTGTCATGCCATCCCATCGCAACCGATCCTGTCATGCCATCCCATCGCAACCCATCCTGTCATGCCATCCCATCGCAACCCATCCTGTCATGCCATCCCATCGCAACCCATCCTGTCATGCCATCCCATCGCAACCCATCCTGTCATGCCATCCCATCGCAACCCATCCTGTCATGCCATCCCATCGCAACCCATCCTGTCATGCCATCCCATCGCAACCCATCCTGTCATGCCATCCCATCGCAACCCATCCTGTCATGCCATCCCATCGCAACCCATCCTGTCATGCCATCCCATCGCAACCCATCCTGTCATGCCATCCCATCGCAACCCATCCTGTCATGCCATCCCATCGCAACCCATCCTGTCATGCCATCCCATCGCAACCCATCCTGTCATGCCATCCCATCGCAACCCATCCTGTCATGCCATCCCATCGCAACCCATCCTGTCATGCCATCCCATCGCAACCCATCCTGTCATGCCATCCCATCGCAACCCATCCTGTCATGCCATCCCATCGCAACCCATCCTGTCATGCCATCCCATCGCAACCCATCCTGTCATGCCATCCCATCGCAACCCATCCTGTCATGCCATCCCATCGCAACCCATCCTGTCATGCCATCCCATCGCAACCCATCCTGTCATGCCATCCCATCGCAACCCATCCTGTCATGCCATCACATCGCAACCCATCCTGTCATGCCATCCCATCGCAACCCATCCTGTCATGCCATCCCATCGCAACCCATCCTGTCATGCCATCCCATCGCAACCCATCCTGTCATGCCATCCCATCGCAACCCATCCTGTCATGCCATCCCATCGCAACCCATCCTGTCATGCCATCCCATCGCAACCCATCCTGTCATGCCATCCCATCGCAACCCATCCTGTCATGCCATCCCATCGCAACCCATCCTGTCATGCCATCCCATCGCAACCCATCCTGTCATGCCATCCCATCGCAACCCATCCTGTCATGCCATCCCATCGCAACCCATCCTGTCATGCCATCCCATCGCAACCCATCCTGTCATGCCATCCCATCGCAACCCATCCTGTCATGCCATCCCATCGCAACCCATCCTGTCATGCCATCCCATCGCAACCCATCCTGTCATGCCATCCCATCGCAACCCATCCTGTCATGCCATCCCATCGCAACCCATCCTATCATGCCATCCCATCGCAACCCATCCTATCATGCCATCCCATCGCAACCCATCCTGTCATGCCATCCCATCGCAACCCATCCTGTCATGCCATCCCATCGCAACCCATCCTGTCATGCCATCCCATCGCAACCCATCCTGTCATGCCATCCCATCGCAACCCATCCTGTCATGCCATCCCATCGCAACCCATCCTGTCATGCCATCCCATCGCAACCCATCCTGTCATGCCATCCCATCGCAACCCATCCTGTCATGCCATCCCATCGCAACCGATCCTGTCATGCCATCCCATCGCAACCCATCCTGTCATGCCATCCCATCGCAACCCATCCTGTCATGCCATCCCATCGCAACCCATCCTGTCATGCCATCCCATCGCAACCCATCCTGTCATGCCATCCCATCGCAACCCATCCTGTCATGCCATCCCATCGCAACCCATCCTGTCATGCCATCCCATCGCAACCCATCCTGTCATGCCATCCCATCGCAACCCATCCTGTCATGCCATCCCATCGCAACCCATCCTGTCATGCCATCCCATCGCAACCCATCCTGTCATGCCATCCCATCGCAACCCATCCTGTCATGCCATCCCATCGCAACCCATCCTGTCATGCCATCCCATCGCAACCCATCCTGTCATGCCATCCCATCGCAACCCATCCTGTCATGCCACCCCACCCCGTTGCATCCTGTCATGCCACCCCATCCCATCCTCCTGCCCCATCCCATCCTCCTGCCCCATCCCATCCTCCTGTCCCATCCCATCCTCCTGCCCCATCCCATCCTCCTGTCCCATCCCATCCTCCTGCCCCATCCCATCCTCCTGCCCCATCCCATCCTCCTGCCCCATCCCATCCTCCTGCCCCATCCCATCCTCCTGCCCCATCCCATCCTCCTGCCCCATCCCATCCTCCTGCCCCATCCCATCCTCCTGCCCCATCCCATCCCCCTGCCCCATCCCATCACATCCTGTGACCTGATCTCGTCCCAGACGGCTGTGCAGCACGTGCTGCGCAAGTCTCTCCGTCCGTCCGACCGCCCGCGCTCTGAAATCGTCTCCTTTCTGCCGCAGCGGCACAGGGACCACCCGCAGCCTCTGCAGCAGCCACCGCCACTGGAAGAGCAGCAGGGGTGGCAGCAGAGCGAGGGGCGATGCGCAGGGCATCGTGAGCATGATGGTGCTGCCAATAGTGATGCAAATGGTGGTGCCAATGGTGATGCCGATGGTGATGTGCGGATGGGTGATGGTGAGCGGCAGCAGGGCAGTGAGGAGCAGGCAGGTGTGGGCGGCGGACAGCTGACAGACGATAGAGACACACAGACTCTCAGGCCCCACGGTGATGCAGACACAGACGAGTGTGTCGGCATGACGAGGTTTGCAGGTGGGGAAGACGCATCCACAGGTGGTGCTGATTGTGACATTGCCCGTGAGCTGGCGCATGCCTCACTGGTCTCTCCCGATGCCCCTGTTCAAGGCAGCAGTATCCCAGCCTCCGCTGAAGCCCAGTCACATGTTGTAACAGGAGGCCCTGGCCCAGGAGGCCCTGCCCCAGAGGCGTCTCCTGCAGGGCATGCAGCCCCGGTCCAGGGGCTATCAGGCGTGTCCGTGCCCCTCCAGGGGATCGCACCTGAAGCCGCTGCTGCCGCCTTCACTGCTGCACGCAGGGCAGGCGGGTGCGGGTGCGGGCACAGCAGTAGCAACGTTGCTGGTGGTGGCACGGGCAGTGGTGTGGTGGAGCATGGGGATGAGGACGGGGAGGGCGAGTGGGAGGAGCAGTGCGCGGTGGCGCGTCTAGATGCGGAGTATGATGCAGCGGTGGCGGAGGTGAGGCAGGCCCTGGCGCGCATAGTGGGGGACATCAATGAGGCGCTGGAGGAGGTGCGGTACGAGGTGGCGGAGCTGGTGGGGGAAGCTGACGTGGAGGATGCCGCTTAGAGGGGTGTTGGGGACGGGTGTGGGAAGGAAAGTGATGGTGCTCCTTTAGTTGCTTGGCTTGGAAGTTGAGAGATCAATGAGGCGCTGGAGGAGGTGTGGTATGAGGTGGTGGAGCCGGTGGGAGAGTAGGGCTGCCATGGCTTGGCCTGGCTCTCCAATTGTTGATGTGGAGGAGGGTCCAACGGTAGTATCAGTGAGTCGCTGTAGGTGCATTGTTGTCACTGATATTTAAATCAAATAGCATCCGCCTGTCTGACAGAGTTTAGTACCGGTACCAATCTCTGGATTGTGTCCGCCTGAGCAATTGTGAAAAGGCTTGTTCCCAGCAGAACTTGGTACCAGGATAGCAGGAGTGTCACTGTGATCTACCGGGAAACCAATCAGAGGGTCCTGCAGAACGTTGGAGGTAATCCTGTCTGCGGGCAGCATTTGCTTGTTACATTAGCAGGTCTATATATAAAATACGGCTATATTTCCAAACCTTAATGGTACCGGTATGTGTGGTCCACTCCATAACTTATTTTCCTACGTATGCTTCGCACCTAGACACTTGTGTGCCCTGTAACTATCCTGCACCGTATGCTCGCGCTTTCACCGTGCGACCATGTCATCCTCGCTGTGGGCATTGCATGATGGCAGGAGCTAGTTGCTAGTTGATCATAGATAGCCACTCGTGATCTGGGGGATGGGATGGGGAAAGAATGAAGGAGTCATGTTGATGAAATGGGAAACTGCAAGCATGGGATGGGGGGAAGGGGAGCCGGATCAGGAGGAGATGAGGCCACAGTGAGGCTTGGCTGGCTGGTAGCAGCAACACAGGGGTTGAAAAGAGCTCACATAATGCATGCAGCCAACACAAGATGCGACGGCAATCATGGCTGGAGCTGTTGAGACACGCAGTGCAGCAGACAGAGGTGGCAGCACACCTGGGCGGCTGACAGAACACGTACCAAGCACTTGCTGTGGTGTGGGCCGGGCGGTGGGATCCTTCACAAGCATCCAGCTGATGAGGTGCTTGCATGCAGCGGACAGGTTCTCCCACTCGCGCACCCCATAGAACCCCGCCTCCTTCGCCACCAGCACGCTCGGCCACCCGGGCCTCTCCTCTGGTGCCACCGAGCCTCCTGTGGAGGGTGGGTCGCTGTACGGGGCTCGCCCAATCACCAGCATGAATAGGACGATCCCTGCACTCCAGACGTCGGATTCCGGGCCGTACGATTGGTCGAACACCTCGGGAGCCATGTACTCAGAAGTGCCGATGACGTCGCGGCACGGCTTCTCAGGACTCCACACCGTTGCCACGCCGAAGTCAATCAGCTTCACGGCATCGCTGCTGAAATTGCAGCTGCTGGCACCCATGCCGGTGCCGACGCTGCTACTCTTGGCGATGTGGGTGTGGGAGGCCGAGAGGGCATCGCGGTGGGAGGAGGTGTGGGCGATGAGGACGTTTTCGGGCTTGACGTCGCGGTGCACGATGCCGTGCGCGTGGCAGTGCTGCAGCGCACGCATGAGTGATCGGAAGATGCGCGCAGCGGAAGGTTCCGGGAAGTTGCGGTGCAGCTGGATGCGGTCGAGGAGGTCGCCCCCCTCGCAGTGCTCCATGATGATGTGCACGTGCTGCATTAGAGGGGGGGGGAGAGGGGGGTGGGGGGGGGGGGAGGACGGGGGAAAGGGAGGGGGTTGATTAGGGTGTATGGGGAAAAGTACCGCTGTGCTGTGAGCACCCTCACAGTACTCTTAACAGCCTTGCAGTGCTCCATGATGTGCACGTGCTGGTGGGGGACGGGGAGAGGGGAAGCGGGGAGAGGGAAGCGGGGAGAGGGAAGGGGGGAAAGATTGGGAGGAGACGACTTACAGGTGGTGGGCCAGCTGCTGAGGCCCGGATGGACTGCAAATAATGAACCACGTGCTGAGGCTCTTCTTCTCATTTCTCTTCTCTGTTTTCCTGCTTTGCACAGCCCGCCTGGGCGCTCTTCATGCACGGGGAACTGGTGAGAGGAGGTAGTGGGAGCTCACCCTCGTGCTCTCGATGGTCTCCTTCATGCGGATGATGTTGGCGTGCCCCTTGAGCCGCTCCAGGAACCCCACCTCGCGCCGCACCGCCTCCTTCTCCGCTGCACTCTGCACCACCACACCGGGGGGCGGAGGGAGGGGAAGGGCAGAGGGGAACGAGGGTGAGTGTGGGTGGGAGTGGTGGTGGGTGGGGTTGGGGATGGTGGTGGGTGGGCAGGTGTAAGGCTGGCAGGGCGATTGACCGGCTGTTAAAAAACGCACTATCTGCCATGTGACCTTTGCAGCCAACACTTGGGGGAAGAGCCACACATGTTGGGGGGCGCGTAAAACGGGGGAAGGTTGGTAACCTCGACCTTTCTTTCTATCTGATTGTTTTTTCTGTTTGTTAGTTTGGAAAGCAAAGGCAGCGGTTCTTGCGATCCGTTTGTGTTGACCTGTGAAGGTTCATTCAGCTCACCAGCAGCCCCTCTCAGCTCACCAGCAGCCCCTCTGAGCTCACCAGCAGGCTCCGCTTGCCGATGCTCTTGCACGCATACGCCTTGCCGGTGCCTCTATGCACACATTTGCGCACCGTGCCATACTGCCCGCGCCCCACGGGTGCGCGCCCCACCACGTACACCTCCTTCAGCTCCCGCAGGCCCCTCCCCAGCACCGACCCCCCTCCCCCCATGAACAGCGCTGCCCCCGGGTGCTGTGCCTTCTGCTGCTGTGCCTGCACTGGCCTTGCCTGCTCCTGCTGCTGCGGCTGTTGCGGCTGCTGGTGCTGCTGCTGCTGCTGCTGCTGCTGCTGCTGTTGCTGGTCTCCTGCTTCCCTGCCCTCCCTGCGTGCGCCCTCCGCCTTGACTCGAGCACCTGGCGTCCGCATGTCCTCTCCTCTTTTCTCGCATGCGGCGGAGGCACCAGCAACAGCAGCAGCAGCAAAAGCAGCAACAGCAGCAGCAGCATCGCCAGGAAGCTCTGCCGAGCTGCTATCCACGACGCTAGCAGCGTCAGCAGCAGCCATGCCGGCGTCACAGGCGTCCTGCTGCATCTGCTCCAGGCTGCGCACGCCTGAATGGATCTTCTCCCACCACCTCCCATTTCCACCCCCCTCACCACCCCTCTCACCTTGCTCCCTTGCTCTGTACTCCTTCTCGCCCCGCTCCTTGGCACTGCCACTGCCACGCACCAGCCTTGCTCTGCTGCTGCTGCTCCCAACCACCTCTTGCACCACATCCTGCCCAACCATACCGTTTTGCACACCCGCAACATCTGGCTTCAGAAAGGCCTCAGCGGACTGAGTGGGCTCAGTGCCGTCCGGGTAAAGGGACCCCATGCGAAGGTCGAAGTCAAATTCAGACGACAGGAACCCAAACCGCTCGCGCCCACCCCTGCTGAAGCCACCAGCACTCGATCCCGTGGCCCCACCGCCAGCAGCAATGCCAAAAACCGCAGCAGCAACTGCAGAAGCAGCGCCAATCGCCTCCACTGCATCCCTCTCGCCCCTCTCGGGCCTGCCTTCTGTCTCCTTCTCCGTGCTGCCAAACGCCACCAGCTCTCGCCTCTCACCCGCCCCTCCACCCCCACCTCCCACGCGCTCCAAGCTCCCAAACGCGCCCTCCCGGTATTCCACCGGCTCGTCTGAGCCCACAAACGACCCGTGCTGACTGCTGCACAGCAGGTCGCGCGAGTCGAACGCACCAGCAGGGGACGCAAATCGGCAGCCTTCCTCGGAGAAAAACAGGTCCCGGTCGGATCGCCCTCTGGTATACAATGCGTGCTCCCCACTGCTCGCGCCTCTGGATTGCAGAGTGGAGCCTGTGGCATCTGCCGCCCGCTCCCGTGCACTTACGAAGCTGTCTCCACCGCCCAGGGAGTCTCTCATGCCGCCTTTGTCCCCAGTGGGATAGAGATCTCTTGATTCGGACAACCCTTCCCCGCGCGAGAACATGCGCCCCTGTCCTCCATAAGAGCTGCTGCGATTGAAGGCTCTCTCCCTGCTGGCGCCACTGCCACTACCACTTCCGGCCACTCGGTGGCGGGAGGCGGAGGCCGAGGAGGAGGAGGCAGCTGCAAGGGCTGCCCCGGTGTCGCGAGACGGAGTGATGGAGAGGGGAAGGGGAGGGGGAGGGGAGGCGGATGGGGAGGAGGAGGGGGCGAGAGAGGGGTTGAGCCAGGCGGGGTCGTCCCCAAAGGAGAGGTCGCGCGAGGAGCGGCGCTCTTTGAAGCTGGAGCCCCGCCGCTCGCCCAGCAGCTTGCGCCTGCTGCTGCTACGCGGGGGGAGCGGGGCTGCTGATGGGAGTAAGGGTGAGGCGGAGGGATGCACAAGGCTGATGCTGTTGCTGCTGCTGCTCATGTTGCTCATGCCATTGCTGTTTTCAAGGGCTGTGAAAGGGTTATGAGGTGAGAGATCGGATGATGGTCGCTCGGAAGCGAGGAGTTCGAAGGATCCGGAGAGGGAGAGATGCGGGTCAAAGGATGATGCGGAGGGTGGGTGAGGGAGGGCGAGGTCAAAGTGCAGTGCTCGTGGCATGTGCGGGGCGGAGGTCTCAAACTGCCCCGAGTGCGGTGAGAGAAGTTCAAACTGGGTGGTGTGCGGTGCAAGCCGGTCCAGGGCAGGGCTGGAGGCACCAGAGGAGTTAGCAGGGGAGGGCAGGAACGGCTGGAAGTAATCCATGGGGGCATCGAAGAACAGGTCCGACACAAACCGCCTGTGCCCCGGTGCACCCGCCCCCGCCCTCCTGTCGCGCGCGTTATCAGCATTACCGGCGTTACCAGCGTAACCATCCCGATCCACAGCACGACGACCAGCAGCAGCCAGTGTGTGGTCAACAGGCGCAAGCAAACCAACATCCCCTTCCATCCCAGCACCAGCACCACCACCAGCAGCAGGAACAGCGCCGCCAGCACCAACACTTGGGAGCAGGCGGTCAGGCGGGAAGAGGTGGGGGTGGTGTTGAGGGCGGAAGAGCAGCTCGCCCTCCCAGTCCCGCAGGTCCTCGTCAAACTCCCCCGCGTCTCTCGCCGGCCCCATGGACCACGACAGCCCCATCCCCATCCGCCGCCCACCAGTGCGGCTCCTGCTCCTGCTCGGCCCCCTCGACCGTCGCCCCTCCCCTCTGCTCCCCTCCCGTTCCAACGCCCTCCCTCCCCCTCGCACTCTCCCCCTGCCCCTCTCGTGGTCTGCCTCGCCATCCGCGTCCCCCTCGTCTTCCAGGCTGCCAGTGCTTGCCACGCGGGAAAGCACCTGGGGGCTCGGCGACCGGCTCCTCACATTCAGGCTCGGCGCGTGGCCGAAGCTGGCGTTCAGGTTCGGGCTGTACCCAGGGCTGATCTGCTGGCTCGGTTGGGGGCTGCGGAGAGCATGTGAGGAGGACGGGGAGGGCGAGAGGCGGTCAGAGGAGAGGGGAAGAGGAGGAAGGTGCAGGTGGGGAGGGGGAGTACGAGGGCCAGAGCGGGAGAGAAGGAGGCCTTGAACGGCGTTGAAGCTGAGTGGCCGCTGCAAGAACCGCCTGCTGTTGCCGCCTGGACTGCTGCCCGTGCTGCCCGTGCTGCCCGTGGCAGCGGAGCCTGATTGCCCCCTCCCTCCTCCCGCTCGTCTCGCTTCCCCTGCTTCCTCACCCCCTCCTGTGCCAAAGACACCACCAGTGGTGCTGATGCTCCTGCTGCGGTGGTGCCCTCCCCTCCTCGTTCCGCCACCCTCCCCCACATTGGCACCGTCACTCACTCCACCAGCTCCTACCCTCATCCCTGACCCAGCAGCAGCACCATCAACAGCACCAGCGGCAGTGGGCACGGCAAAGGTGGGGCCCATGTGGTAACTGCATGACCGCGCATGCATGCTGCCGCGAGAGGCGTTGGGGGACCGGGTGATGGGCGCAGGGGAGCGGGAGCACGCGGATGGGGAGGGGGAGCGGCGGGCAGAGGGGGATGGGGAACGGTTGGAGGGGGAGTGCGCAAATGCAGAGCGGGCGGAGGGGGATGGGGGAAGGGGGGAGCGAGAAGGAGGGGTACGGGAGATAGAGGAGTGGGAGGGAGGTGCGTGTGAGAAGGATGAGGCACGATGGTGTCGCCTGTATTGCCCTGCTCCCACATCCCCCCTCCCCTGTGCAGATTGTGACAGCGTGGCAAGTGCTGCCTCCAGGTCAGCAAGAGACACGTCACCCCCCACGTCGGAAGCAGTAACAGGTGGCGCTATGACAATGCCACTGGCAGCAGCAGCAGGAAACCCCCCATCACCAACAGCAGCAAAATCAGCACCATCTGTGGCAGCTACAGCCGCCGCCACCCTGACTGTCTCTAGCCCCATGTCCCGTGATCCCCATATCTCCCTCTCTCGTCCCTCCTGCTCCCATCCTCTCCCTCTTCCTCTCTGCCACCCCCTTCCCTCTCTCTCCTCCCACACTCCCTCATCCCCTCCGCCTTCACCACGCATACCATGAGGTTCGGAGCCGGAACCTGAACTTCCAGGCTCGGGATCAAAGGCAAGGTTCGGTGGAAGGTGCGGAGAACTTTCGCCGGAAAGGGATGGGTGAGGAGGAAGGTGGGATTTGGGAGAGCGGTGGGGGTGATGATGATGATGATGGTGATTGTGGTGGGTGTGATTGTAGGGAGGTGTGGCTGGGGAAGGTGGCATTTGAAGAAAAGGGGTAGTTGGGCAGGATGAAGAAGCGGATCTTCCATGCCTCGCCCCTCCAACTTTCCCACTGCCACGTGGCGTCCACTCTTTGCTCTTGCCTCTCATTGGCTGATCGTCCTGCTGCACGCCCAGTGTTGAGATAATGGATTCGAGACACGCCAAATCCAGCTCAAGAGGGGGATGGTGGGTGACGCGTCTGGGAGGAATGCTGTGGAAGTTGCCTTGACAGTCCTGGCTCGACGAACTTTCGCAGTTACTGTAGTTGCTGTAACTGCAGTTGGCGACGCCGCTGCGCTCCCCAGCCCAGCTACCTGCTAAGGATTCGCCAATTTCGTCCATCGCGATGCCCTTCCCTTTCGCAGACGCACTCGCACGCCTTCGCTCACTGGCGCTGCTGTTACTGTCGATGCTGCTCTTGCTACTTCTCGGCGAAGTTTTCTCTCTCGCGAAACTTTCTCCACGCCTTGCCTTCCAATTAGAAGCCGCGTCACGCAAACTGAAAAACCCACCACTTTCGGTATTTCCGTCTCCGTCTCCATCACCGTCACCGTTACCGTCACCGTTTCCGTATAAGTCGTCATCGTCACAGTGACTGCCAGAAGTCGAAGATGGTAGCCACTCGCCGCCATCCCTCGACGCGACAGCCGCCGCAATCAACGGAGGCGGTGGTAGGGCCGAAGGAGAAAACGGTCCGGAGCGCGATTCTAGTTTCGAAAACGAGCTGCTCCCCCTGTTTGACGGTAACAGAAGTGACTTTGACTGAACTTTCGATTCTGACTGAATCTTCGATCCTGACTGAGATTTTGATCTTGGAAACGACTGATTCGTGACGGTCGACGGTTGACTGGCGTAAACCCTCGTTGTACCGATTGCGAGGGTTTCGCGATTAGTAACCGCCCGTTCCGCAGCATCGCTGGCTTCGTGGCTCACATGAATCCTTGCGTGGGAGGCCGATCCAACGGCGGTTAAACCGCTCGCAGTAGTTCTCGCCGCGTCTCCAGGATTTTCTCCTGACGAAAACCCTGAAGTCGTTGCGGGTGCTGACGGAGGCGGTGGTTGCGCCACTATCTCACCAGCGACGCCAGCTTTATGTAGATTTGCCTCTAGAGTCGGACCGTCAGGAATCCATGCAGAACTTAACTCTGCCCACGATGTTCCGTCAATAGTTGGCGACGCTGGCGACGACAACTCGGGCTTAAGCGACTCGGCTGCGTCAGTTAGCGACGACGGTAAGGGTGACGGGTGCATAACGACGTCGGTTGCGGAACATACTCTTTGCGATCGCGACCCTCTTTGCAGGAGCATACTCTTCTGCGACGCCGCAGTTCCAGCGGGATCTGCGCCGACAGACACGGAGGAGCTCCTCCCAGCCACTCTGCTCCACCCGCATTTTTCTGTCACCACCTCCGTCGCGCCGCCAGGAGCGTCGCGATCCAACTCCGACTCCGATTCGACGGGCGTGGCAGCGGCTGCTGCGCCGCCGGGTGGGGTCATGGAAAAGCCGGGGAAGTCGTCGACCTCCCAAGCCGACGGGTTACCAAGTTTTGTTTTGCCTGGTCGTTCGTCGCCGTCTTCGCCGCCGCTGTACTCCTCGTCGCGAGCGTACGATCCGTCGCGCGGAAAGATGCATTCATATTTAGAGGCCGTCGCGGCGGCGTGAGAGGATCCCAGGCTGCTGCGACCCACCCGGTTCCCTTCCTCCCACGAGCTCTCCTCTTCGTTCCCGCTGCCGAAACCTCCTGCCGCGCTGCTGTCGTTGCTAGTAGCGTCACCGCTGGCGCTGCGACTGTCGTCTGTCGCCTTCGTCCCGCGAAATCCGGGCAACCGCATCAGCTCAAAGCTCGTGAGCGTTTCGTCGATCTGCTTTCCATCAATCTCGTTCGCCGGCTCCGCTTCGCCCCGCTTCCGCTCCTGTCGCCGCGTCGCCGCCTCCCCCGCAACAGCGTCTCGCGCGAGTTGTGAGGCTTTGCCCGCCATCCCCCGAGGCCGCCCCCCTGCCGATCGGGGGTGGCGTTTGGCGGAATCCGGCTTGTCGAGCGAGAGAGCAGTGTGGAGAGATGGCGATTCGCGGGCGATCACGGCGGTGACGGCGTCGGCGTTGCTGCTGCTCTTGCGCAACGCCAGGGTCGGACGCTCGCGACCCTGCACCTGTCGCCGGCGAGCCCACACGTTGTCGGACTCTCGCTGCTGCGACTCCTGCTGCGATTGCTGCTGCGACATCTGTGTCGTCATCGCCTGAGGGGGGCACGGCGCCACGTCTGACGTACCCCCAGGTTCAGTGGTGGAGAGTGAGTTACTGTTAGTAACCATGCTACTTGCTGTGGTCGCGTCCAACTGTTTTAATCTGGTCGCGATGGGATGATCGCACCAGCTTCTTGTCAAAGGAAAGTCGCTCAGCACGCTGATCGGGCTAATGCCGCTGCCGCCGCCGCCGCCGTCTCCGACAGAGCCACTATTGACTGCTTCCGCAACGCCGTCGCTCTCAGTGGCTGTAGCAGTCGAGAAAACGTTAGAGGGACAGGACGCGCGATCGTCAACGGCGCTACCGGCGCTACTACTGGCGCTACTATTGGCGCAACGGACTCCACTACCAGTACTGCTTAGGAGCGGGCTCATAGAGTCGTTAAAGAGTGCTGGTTGGCAGAGGATGATGGAGCCTCGATTCCTGGTACTGTAATGTCGCTGAGGCGCGTCTATTGGGCACTGTAGCAACAGAAGCGACGGCGCGTGGAGATCGACGAAGAGAAAGATGACGAATTCGAGGGTGGAATTCTGTACAGTGATGGAATTTACTGTACATTGTCGTTCCGCGGGGCAGGAAGCTCAAATTTCCACGGGCCGTGATATTTGGGCATGGTCCCAACTGGCGCGGCGCGGAATAGGACTAAGGGATAGGCGGCTTACCGGTATGACCTATTGAGGAGGACAGCGCCTCACGCGGCGAATCACAGAAAGTAACACGGGCTTTGTTGGATGCGATAAGATTTGAATCGAATGCCACTCATGTGGAGTGGATGGGTTGCATGGTTTTCAAACTCAAGTGGCGGTGAGGCCAGTGTTGTTGGCACGAGGAAGCTCAAATGGTGAGAGAATTACCACGGCACGGGCTTTGGCTCCGTGAATTTTTTATATCGCGCTTTATTTAAAAAAAAAAACTTAAACGTGATCCATCCACCTTTCATAACCCGTTTTCCGCGCTCACGTTAATTTGATTTATATTAACACTCGTATGGTTGTTTTTCCGGGTTGACATTTTGTCGGTGGGCAGTTTAGGGTTTGACGTGGAACCTCCGTGTCACGCAGGGTTCACCGATTGGTCATTGCGTTCCCGAAAGTGTGGAATGCTGGTTCGGCGAGGTTCGAGAACGAACAGGTTCGACAGTCAGCTTCGGTTCACTGTATCAGACTGTCGCGAGATGAGAAGTTATACGTGTCTCATTTCAGTCAACGCGTGTCGCGAAGCGATTGGTTCAGGGGTTCTTTTAACTGTAGTGCTCAACTTACCGCGCAGATTTCAAACTATTCACTGTGTCGGACACCTTGGTTGTAAACTGTCGTTCTGAACACGCTGCAACGTGCGTGCACTTGCGCCCGACACGTCAAGCGCGACCGCATTCGTCTTCATTTGCAAAAAAAAAAAAAAAAAAAAAAAAACTTGCACGCACTCTGTGTAATTCTAGGACACGTGTCATGTCATCATTTGTTTGGTTTTGTTCATTTCAAGTTAAATTCCGCGTATACATTCTGAACACAACATCGTTATTGACCGCGGTGCGTTTTTTTTTATCTTCAAAGGGTGGGTACTTTTTGGGTGCGTTATTGATCACGCTTATGCAGATTTCACGTCTTTCACGTCCCTGTTAAATGCATATGCTGCTGAACCAAAATGTATATTCATAGGGTGTAAAACTACAAAAACCCCATTCGGCAATGTAAGAGTGCGAGAAGCTTCGACGTGAGGATGTCACGGAATTCGCTTCGAAGCGAGCGCCCATATGCGCCCATATGGCACGTAGCTGTCAGGCATTCCTAATTGGCTCATACGACGCATCAAATTGATGTTTTGTTCAAAAACAGATCGCGATGCGATCGCACTTGACCCGATTAAGCAATCACAAACAGCCTCGTCAATATCTGCTCGGAATTTAACATCACGGTTCTGAATTTCGCCCGCCATCCGAAGTTTGGACAATACTGTATAAATGTTCACCTTTGGTTGGCTTCCATGCTCCAAGATACCTGGAAACTAATTTGGTGACCAATGTTCGGGTCACTAAGGGCCATTTTGGGCCGGATGGCGGGCGGACAAGTCTGGAACCGTGACCTAAGACTAGCACTTTCAGAACATACGAACCAATGAGTTAGCGCCGCGTCATATTATCGAAAAAAACATGTTCAACTGTATGTTGAAGTGTGAAGAAACAATATTTGCGTGCTCGATACTAGATACAGCGACCGTTTCACAACAAGTTTTAGCAGTAGATTGTAAGTATATCTTAGAAGGAAATAGTATTAACAATGTAAACAATGGACAGAGTACACAATATGGTATAATGTGAAGTAAATTGTTTGTTTTTTTAATATTAATATTGTGTTTAAAAGGTTTTTCCCTAATTTGAAGGATTTGGAGTATTGTAATCCATTCATTCTATTATTACAATTGAAGCACGATCATCACTATAAGAAATTGGAAAGGGTAATAGAGCTACGGTACTTGCATGATTTCACACTGTGTGAATTTGTATTCAGCTTTTTATTTGTCAATCTTGCTATCTCAGTCCTTTCTGTATGGTCTAGTTATGCATGCATTATGCAGTTCTGCCATAGCCTGTTGACGTTGTATGCCTATTGATACACCTTAATATTTTTGCGATCAGATGTTGATCGTACCTAGGATCACCTCAGAAAGGTTCGCACACGTCTGAGTAGTGGTAGGCCCTTGACCTCAATAGCAGAGTGGATGTAAAATGCTTGAGATGATAATAACATGCGAATACAGAAATATAAATAAGAGTACAAGGGAATTCGAATCGGCCTAGGCTAGCCATATACTCTAAGGGATATATTCCGTTATTGCAGCGAAACCCAAACGTGCGACTCCAGATGGTTACAAACTGCCTGGGCAGAATCCTCGCTACTGCTGCTGCCTGATGATGTCTGCCCGACGGTCCAGATTGTCAGAATCCCAACCACTAGACCATTGGGATAAAATGGTTTGTTAAGTAGCGGATCAGTGCGCCCATAACCCCCCAGGCCAACATGCCTGTAACCCTTCCCTAGGATCAATCGGGGATCACTAGTGGACCTCTGAGACGACATATATCGAAACTGCTTGCTTTTTAACTTGAGTTTTTCATTGCAACGTCTGAAGTGGCTTGGATGATGCTAAAGTCTGACGTGCGTAGTGTTCCGAACTGTTTACGCCTTGACTGGTGTTGTACCATGCTCGCGCTGCGGCTTTTATTATTATCAATGACGCGTCAACGATTCATGGGGCGTCCAAAGTGAACCAGTTGTCGAACGCATGTCAAAGCGAACGTTGCCTATTGGCTGTGGTTCGCGCTGCGATTGTTCGTCAGGGTTAATGAACGGGCGAATATGTTGCGAAATGCAATTCTCGGATGCGACTTGGTGTACATATGTAAGTGAATGGGTGGACTGATAACAGTGACGATGGCAAGCCAATCATGGGCTCTGCAGAAGTGAACAAGTTCGGGAACTTGGAGGGAATGAGGCACTAAGCTGTACAGTGGTCACGTAGGTTTGGAACTGACGGGCTTGGTAAGTTGTTCCCAAAAAAAGTTGGAAATGCCCCAACAACTCTTCCGCGAAAATTCCATCTGACCCTACACTAACATCTATACTGCCTCTATTCGAGCGGAAATGACTGGAGCGCGGAACGCGCGGGATAAAAGGTGGATGGATCGCGAAAGCGTTTTTTTATTGCAGCGCGATATAAAAAATTTCCGAGCCCAAAACCCGTGCCACGGTAATTCTCTCTCAAATGGCACCCGCCTGAATTGTGGTTGCTCCTACTAACAAGCCTTGAGGTTTACCTGGTACAGTTGTATGACGGTCCTAAGAAATGTCGAACTGCTGGATGAGTGGCGGAAAAGAGATTCATGATCTCCTCCTAAGCTGTTGTAAAAACAACTACCCACTTCGATTACACGAAGCACCTCATCAAACAAGCTTTCCCGTCAAGAGTGAACTCTAGTAAGATTCAATGCGTTGTTTATGTGCTGCGAACCGTTTTTCCAGACGACGGATTGGTTTAGTGCTGTGCTGTAGACAGCAGAAGACTGTACATGAGTTTTTCCTTCCATTGCAATTGCACTTCACGACACGATATGCGAGGCGTGAGGCTTGTTTGCATCTGGTGTTTCGGCTGCCATCACAAGGTGTCAAAAAGCAAGCTCGAACTGTTTTCTTAGGATATGTTTTCGGATTCCCAAAATAAGGGTGAAGATTTCCTGGAATCGCTCAGGCTTTCTGAGAACACGGAGCTACCGACCACACGATTACAGGCTACTTCCTTTTCCTCCGAAACGACAACGCACCCACACCGCTACTTGGTCACTCCGACAATTTGTTCAGCAAAATCCACGACAGTGGCCACATCCTGATTTTACAGCGTTATGACGAGGGAGCCCGAGCTCGCACGGAAGCAAGAAAAACTTCTTTCAGGAACTTCGAGAAAATGTGGGTCCCCCACTTCTCCTCAGGCTCAAAATAATGTCCCGAGAGAATGCCGCAAATGTCGTGAGAAACCTTGGCTCACGACGAACCAGCTGCAGCAAACGGCATCGATGTTGTTGGACTTTCGGGTGTACAAAAGGACCAACCGAAAACAACAGCACCTATATGTAGTGTTTCAAGCTACTATTCACCGAGGTCCTTCTTGACTGCACTGTACGCGCTCTTGAGCTAGCCCTGCTGAAGGCCAAAGTGGTTGTACACCGTCAGAGAGTGACTATTTTATGCTTGTCATTATCGTTTTTTTAGGTAGGCTCCAGCAGCAAGTATCGTAACAGTGCATAATGTGTGTTTCGATAGGGTTGTCGCTGGTGAACCCCAAATTTCCAGTAGGTAGACATAAATTTTTCAAACGCCCTGATTTTTCAACAAACAACATACTCCAAACAATCTCCAGACAGCCGACTGTAGTTAGAGTTGTCGATCACGGGCAATGGCCCATGGACGAATCTCAGGGTGGATCACGAATTCACCACACAGTCTGAGAGCAAGCAAGGGCCACAATGCCAGTTCAAGAGTTCCCAAATATATAAAAATAGCAAGACACGCAGAGC